TATAGATGGGGCTATAGAAAAATAATATTTCAATTTTTTTTAAAAAAAAAATCTAGACCGTGCAAAGTGTATAAATCGTGAATTTCTTCAAACGTCCCTTTTAAAGTTTAGGGTCAGGGTGAGTACTAGCATAGTTCTTTTTTCAGATGGGCTATAGGAAAATAACTGTCGTGGCTGATGCTGAAATTGGCTGATGCTAAAATTTGAATCTATTTTATTATGAAATTTTAAAATCTTTTTGGTGTGTGTTTTGTACAATTTTTTTATGGTTAGGTTGAGATTTAGGGCTATATTTGATATTTAAAAAGTATATGTGAATTTTGGCAGGGCTTATAGTTTCAAATCGAGACCCCAAATTTCAGCATCAGCCGCGACAATAACTTATTTCAATTTTTTATTTTTAAAAAAAAATCTAGACCGTGCAAGACGTATAGAACGTGAATTTCTTCAACTGTCTTCTATTAAAGGTTAGGGTCAGGGTGAGTACTAGTATAGTTTTTTTTTTTAGATGGGGTTATGGGAAAATAAATTTTTTTTTTTTTAGATCTAGACTGTGTAAGACGTATAGAGTGTGGATTTCTTCAAACGTCCTCTAGTAAAGGTTAGGAGCAGGGTGAGTACCAAGATGGTTCTTTTTTAGATGGGCTATAGGAAAATAACTTTCAATTTTTCTTTTTAATTTAGATCATGCAAGGCATATAGAACATGAATTTCTTCAAATATTCCTTATTAAAGGTAAGGGTCAGGGTGAGTACTAGTATAGTTGTTTTTTTAGATAGGCTATAGAAAAATAACTTATTTCGATCTTTTTTTTAAAAAAATTTTTAATCTAACAAATTTTTCATTAAATGCTTTTAGATTATGCAATGCTGTATCAAATTTTGCTTCTCCAGGTACTTCTATTTGCAGGTTAGAATTAAGGTAAGGTTATTCTTTCGCTGTTGGGGTTAATAAAGTAATTGTAGTGAAAAGTTATAGATCCGGATTAAATATTTTTTTTATCTACATATTTGCGTATTTAGATCATGCAAGACCGCATTAAACTTAATTTCTCTAGATGTTCTTATTTGGAGCTTAGGATTAGCATTGTTACTTGTGTGTTTTAAATATTAAAATGTTAGTTTTTATATTTAGTAAACTTAATAAATAGAATAGTTGATTAGAGGTGATATTTAATAGTGATATATAATTATTTTATTTTATATCTGTGATGAATTTTCTGACAAATAAATATTTAGTGATATATAAGCCGTTGTCACATATGTGACAAATAACTTAGTTCTTGATATATAGCTACGATTATTGATTATATTTTTATAAATTTAAATGGATTAAAATATTAACTAACATATGTTAAATGACCTAAGGCTCGAACTGACTAATGCTAATTATTTGTCATTTGGGTCATTTGGTCATTTCAGGTCCCTGATGTAGAGTACCAAAGTGTACGCTAAATCGTATTGTTTAAAATAAAGAGTTTATATATAATTCTGTAATAACTGAAAATTTTTCGTAATAAGAAACCTATCGATTCAATCTTGGGCGATTTCTTCATTTGTTCTAAAATTTATGAAAACAGCTGTAATATTGGTGATTAATAATGATATATCCTCATAAGTAAATACCATTTTTAGATCTTAATATTTTAGACAGTTTCTGTTTTTACATTCAGAGATTTGGAAGTTTTCATCAAGCTTCGAATTTGGGCACCAAGCTTCGAAGGTTCACTAAATACTATTTATATGTCAATTAATCACATCAGTGCATCATTAATACGGAAAATAAGAAAAAAAATAGACAATGTTTAAGTGTTATGTTATTTTGATTACATAGTACCCATACTCTGAATTTAGGATACTTTAAAAAAACTACAAGTTCTTCAAAGTAACTATAGGATACGCCACAAAAATGGTTCGAACTATACTCAGAAGTGATGCTGGCACTCTATATGGAACAACAACACAATATGTAACTGAATTAAATCATATTTATAAATTACAGTATTAAACAGTAAAAGAAAAGCGTCAATATAGTTATATGTTTTCAAAATAGCGCGTAGAAAATTATGATAGTTGAGGAAAAAAAATAAAAAGTCTCTAAGTACACTTTAAATGCATATTACTCTTTACAAAAATTTATACATGACATTTCCCGGGTTAGAGAACATGTAATTAACCTATCTTACATAGAAAAAATTTAGAGCTCATTTCTATTCCTTTTGGTTCGTTTTTCATTTTCCTCTCTTACCGTTTTTGCAGCACAATAAGCGTAATGCTTTTTATCAATCCCCTCATGTAAATAACTTTCATACTTTTTACAAACATCTGTTTCTAATATATAATCATAATCTTTATGAGCCTCTGCCCTTTCTTGAGCACCAAAGGATAATATTGTCTATGATGACAAGAGTAGAAGACTAGTGGCTCATTCAGACCTCCCCAAATAGTTATAATCTGTTTATAAACACTAGCCAATAGTCCAGGTCCAGTGCTTAATTCTAAATAATTATTTGGTAAACTTTTTAAAATCTCCACTGTGTGAATAATACCCCACCATAATATCTTTTTTACGAGCTAAACCTGCATGACATAATTCATAGTTAAACTTTCATCTATGATTTGTTTTATAGTAGGCACTTGATAGTCATCTGTGACAATTTTAGCAGCAACCGTCGTTAAATATCCAATATCACGATCACGGTACATTATTTCACAAGGTTCTAATTTTTCGTAATGTAAATTGCCAACATGATATATAATGACATACATTGTATAGCGTGTCCTATTAATAATCATAATCGGTAATGAAAGGCAAGTAGGAACGAAAATCAATAATGTGATAAAATTGAATATATTCATAATAAAATTTTCTTTAAAACCTTCAGGTAAAATTTTATTTGAGAAAAAAGTTATACGAGAGCAAAAGAGATTTACATGTTTTGTTGCTAAAAATGATATCAAATCGGAAATACTGATTTTTTTCTATTTATTTGATATAAATCAATTCGTAAATACCAGGAATGGAGATGATATGGGCTGAGTGCTACAAAAAAAGAGGTAAATTGAACAGAAAAAAAGATCTTCAAAAAATTGTTATGAATTTCGGGTTTACTAAAATGCACCATAGGTGTTGAACACCATAGTTGCTATACCTCAAAAACGTACTAGTTAACACATCTCTGGGGTATTAAGTAAAAATGTTCAGCACCCCAAAAACCTTATGCAAACTAAAATTTGGGCCTTTATATCTAACCTCTATCTTGCTCTAAAGTTGCACCCTAACCCTAAATTTTAGCCAAAAACATGGTGCATTTTATAATTATTGATAAATTTTTATAATTAATCATAAAAATATTCAAATTTCAAAGAGCTATACTTCAAAATTTTATTAATACAACTGAGTTTGTGTCTTAAGTAAAAAATGATCCTGATCTTATCCTGAATTGATTTACGTAAAAAAAGGTTTTTTGAACGATTTGTCAATTTCCCTTTTTTGCAGCACTTAGTCCATACGTAATATTACAAAATATATGGTGTTATATATCAATTTTAACGACACACGTTCACAAAATATTATAATTAATTGGACAAACGTGAAATACTGTATGTCTAACTATATAAATGCCTAAACTTGTATCCTTTATCGCTTTAGCTAATATATATACATATATATAACCCGGAATTCATACTCATTAGTTTAGTATAATATGTAATAATAGGACATGCTAAGCTTGATTTATTTATTAATTTATAAACAAATCTGGAGTGCACAATATCGATATATGCGTCTGTTAACTCTCTATAATCTTTGTTCACGATTCTTTTTCAGATCATTTCTAGTTATAACTATGGCTGTTGTGAAAGGCGAAATGGCTTTCAGGTCAAATACGAATCGAATTATGATGTTAAACTTACTGCCATGTTTTAAAATTTTCTTGTGAAAAATTCTTTGAATCTATAAATTTACTAAATTCATCATAATACGTCTATATTAATGTTTATTTATTTATTAAATACTTGGAGATTTTAATAGCTTATTTTCCTATTTATATAAGACCCGGGTAAAGATTTAATAGATTTGAAATATAATCGAAGTTTAACTATAATATTGTTTGCTTATAATATTAGACCCCAAGTATATTAATCATTCTTGGTTAAATATCTATGGATATATTGCCGTGTATAATTTGCTTTTTTTTTTTATAAGACCGGTGCTAAAGGCAATGCGCTACGGTAAATATTTGAAAGATGTTAATGGCTTATTTGCCTATTTATAATTTCTGTTATTAGCTTTTTTTTTAATAACTAAATATACAAGCCGGATCAAGCCAATAAATATTTCAGCATTGAATATAAATAAAAAGCTTCAATAATAAATTTTAGGGGTTTTTTTTGTTTAAATATATAAAATTATGAATTTATTTTTATTTTTATTGATTTTCAGTAATCGGGTTTTTTCTTTTCCTTTTTTTTTTTTTTTTTAGCGAGAGCATGTAGGTTTCGACTTTTTGAGTATAGAGTTTCGTCATTTTAAGTTTGAGTTTCGTCTAACAACTATAAGCACTGCTTTTGCTAGATTTTGGGGTTTCGTCTTTCGCCAAAGGTTTCGTCTTTCGCGGAAGTTTCGTCAGTTTCGTCTAGCGAAAGGTTAGGTTTCGTCTTTCATCATTTTTTAAAAACGGTTTCGTCTAACAGCTATACGAGGAACATTCTACATAAAGTCTAAAGATTTCTTTGGTTACTTAATTTTGAATGCTAATACACAGATGCAACACCTCAAATTATGCTACTTTGCTATCTAATCTATAAGGAGGAGTCTGAGCATCGCTTCAGTCAACGAATAGTGTATTGCTGGGCAAATGGGAAAGTTTTTAATCGTTATTGCAAGTTTCTTGGAGCATAATCTAAATTCTTTACTGCTAAATATGCGAATGCATAAAGAAATTTTTACATATGTATAATTTTATTGCTCTAATTCTGTCCTTAAATCATCATTAATATGCAAAAATTTATCTGGAATCGATAATGCAATCTATTAATTCTTTTTAATATCTTCACCTTCAATTTGCTTAGAAAATTCGTGATAAAAATTTAGAAAGGTGAAAATTTTTATTAGGTATGTTCTTTATGATGGTATCTTCTTTGGGTACATCTAATTTATTGCATACCACATTATCCAATTTAATGTTTCCACATCTTTTTGTTTGATGCAATCTGTTTAAATTTCTCAAGAGAAGCTGATTCTTGAACGATGGAATTGCAGCTGCCTCTTTATGACCCTCTTCAACCTTCTTGGTAGCATTATTAACATCATATTTGTCTGTGCTATTTCTCAGCAGCAGTATCTCCAATTTGTTTAGAAAAGTATTCACGAGTATTATTATATTTATTTTCCCGTAGCTTTTTTATGATTGGTCAGCATCTTTAAGGTAACTAAGAGTAAATGCTATTTTTCCACCATGTTTCTAATTCAGGTGATTTAAGCTTTTTATTTTGTGTATATTTTTTTATTTCAAGTATTACATCTACAACAGAAATATCTAATTCTTCACAATTTTTTAATTAATTTAAAAGATACACTCGTTCCTTTGATTAGATGCTGCATCTTACATTTTTCTAGTATAGTTAAATTTTGCACTGGACTACTACATTTTTTCTCTTATCTTTGCATAATTTTAAACTACATAATTATCTACATATTTTAAGTTCTTTTTTGATATTTGTATATCTTATTTGTTTTAATTTATATTCACAGGCTTTCTCTTATCTTTCCATAAACTTTCATGCTTAGATGACTTTCTTAAGATACGCAGATTAATTGCATGGCATGATGAAAACTCGAGCGATTTAAGTTTACTATTAGTAATTTTCTTTTGAATAGCAATAATTATTTCTTTAATTATATATGATTATATGCCTTTAGATAATTTATTTTAATTTTATACAAATGTAAATTTGATTGGACATTATTCAACTGGACGTTAAACATTGCAAAAAGGGCCTTGGATATCAAAAAGTACAACACTGCCTATAGTTAATTTTAATTAAATGCTCCCGCATTCAGTTTCTTTGTGCCTTGCCTGAGTAGTGTTGCTGGTACAGGTGGTGCAACATGGTGCACTATTAACACAAATACTATAAAAATTTAATTAGTGCACCATTGTGACACTATTAAAATTATATCTGCACTAACAACCCTAGTCACAAGGTTTAACATTATTAAAGTCGTAATAAATCCTGGGAATAACTAATAAGGAGTCTTACATTTGAGATTTATCAATAGTTCATACTCTTATAGATTTTTTCGATAGGTTTCTTTATAAATTTATTATAAATTTAATTTTACACAAGTAATAGCAATTGATAAAATTTAAATTCTATTTTAAATTTAAGACCTAAGAATTGGGGCTCCCGTCGCAGTTTTTCTAGTTATTATAAAACTAGCCCAATCAATCTTTGAACGAATCAAAATTGAAGGTTTTAATTTAATCTTTTCAGAAATGATTTATTTCAATAAATAATATATTAAATTTAATATAATTCATATTTTAAATAATTTAACCAATTTTACTATTAGTGAAACTAAATTTTATATCAAATAGTGAATTTTTGCTTAATAAAAACAAAAAATTAGAAAATTAAAAAAGTTTAAAAACAAAAAGAAAAAACTTTTCATATACAAATACATTGTTGAATCTACTCAATGTAATTAATATAGAATTTTATTTTTGCAATTATTTTTTGCTATAATATTTATTTTTATACCAACATTAGAATAATATTAGATTTTATGGTAATAGCATTTATTCGTACACATCATTCTAACATGGATTTCCAAAAATTTAAAATAAAATGTCGGTAAAACTCATTTTGAATTTTTTTTTTTTTTTACTAACGTCTCAATATAACCAGAGTGACGTTTTATAAGTTCTTTTATAAGCTCTTTTTTTATACTTAATACGTATTCCAGTTTACGTGTGCAAATGTACATGTAACAATGTTTTTTTTATGAGCAGTCTAACCTGATAACATATATTGCTTATTGATTTCGTTTAGAATGATCTAATCACGCATATACTAACAAAAAAAGGTTACTATCGGAGCTAAATTTGTGTTAAAAAAAGTAGCTAAATTTGCGGAATAACGATAATTTGGCAAATGAACACGTGCCGCGGAGCGGCACGTGTAGCCAATCATTTGCCAAAATACCGTATTCGACAATTGGGCTGCCGTCAATAGAAATCAAGCAGATCTACATTTGAAAAAAAATTAATGCCTTAACTTTCACAGCTCATATCTCGATGAATTTTAAAGCTACCTTAATGATTTAATATTCAAAAGAAAGCTTACTATCTAAGCTTTCTTTTGAATATTAAATCATCAAGATAGCTTTAAAATTCATCGAGATATGAGCTGTGAAAGTTAAGGCATTAATTTTTTTTCAAATGTAGATCTGCTTGATTTCTATTGACGGCAGCCCAATTTGCCCAGTATTGGTGTTATCCGGCAATTTATGATCATGATTCGTAGGGAGTTGTCGGCTGAGTTTTAATTTGAATAAACGTGTTTACATCATAACACATGAAAAAATAACAAGAAGAAATAATTTCATGATCATATGAGTTTGCCGGATAAAGTGATATAACTTATGTTTCATTAATGAGCAAAAAATTTTTGGCATTAATTCATAGTCATATCATGAAAAT